TGCAGCATGTGTGCCGTGGAGCTCGCAGAGATGTGCGTATGCGCCTGTGCGTGGCCGAATGGGGAGCAAATGTCACAATTCTGGAGAAGGACAGCCCCGCCTGGGATGTGCCCTCCTCACTGGCTGGCTCCTAGAGTAGGCCTTTCTCCTTATCTCCACCCATGACCCCTATGTTACGTACAGAAACATCCACGCGCCTTTCCTCAGACACAGTTGGAGCCACTGTGGTGTCACACTGCTTTACTCACTGAGACCCATTTTGCTGCATGGTGAGCATGCCCTGGGAGGCCAGGAGGGAGCTCCTGATGCACCATGAGGACAGACAGGGAAAGAAGGGTCCTCTTGGGATGCAATCTCTGCCCCTTCCCCATCTGCACTGCCCAAGGAGCCCTGCTGCTCACGCAGCCCCCACCACCTGCGCTGCAGTCATGTCCCCCTGTCACTGCCCCCTCCTTCTCCACTGCCTGGGCATTCTACAAGACTTGCAGGGCAGTCTGAGTTGCTGTGGCACCAGCTAACCCTAAGATAAGCCTGCAGCAGGTGAAGGACCCTTTGCTTCCCACCTGCCTGGACTAATTAGGAGAGCTGTTCCTCTCGCCCAAGGCCTGCCTTGGCAGGTCTCCTCGCCTCGCTCCATCACCTTGACCCACAGAGGTACAGAGGACCATACCGATGAACTCTCACCAAGATGAGTTCTGCTGCCCTGATACAGCGAGTGGACCAACAAGCAAGCACCATATATTGCCCTAATGGGAGCCAACAATTAGGCAAAATTTTGGGGGTTTATGGGAGCTGCCTGATCGTTGTTCTAGCAAGTTACAAGAAGGAAAAGTGAAAGAGGTTGTAGTGGTGTGGCACAGCTCCTAGTCAGCAGAGTCATGCAATTAAAAAAAAATATCATCTTCTGGGCATCCCACTGGAAATGAAGCCACTCGAAGATTAGCACTGAGAGGCCATGGTCTGCTCGCTGGTGAACCTGAGAGTTCTGTGTGTGGATGATGGACAGCACTCATCCCTATCCTCTTCCACCAGCATCACATCTTGGAAATTGCCATCCAGCTTCTTCATCACTTTCCTGCCTCAAGTTTTGCTCCTCCCATAGGACAGTTTGCTCCCAGTATCCCTCACTCAAGAGGTTTTGCGTCCTTGAGTCAGAGAAGCAGTAAGATTCTGCACCATCAGGAGAGAGAGACAGAAAGAGAGAAAGAGAGAGAACTGGTCACTCCCCTGGCACCTCCTCTGTTATACTGTCTAGGTTAGCCATCCCCCATGTCAGTTGCTACATCACATCAATCACCATGATGATTAGGGCTGCAAGTCAGTGTGCTTGGAGAAGACGAAGCAGAGGTGTAAGGGGCTGGGAGGAGTAGAGGTTTTTCCCTGTGCCCATAGATTCCCTCACCAGGGAAGGGCAAAGTGAAGAAACACTGCACAAAAATTGAGCTGAAATATCATCTGCTGGTGGGGCTGTGAAGGATTCTAGCATAACTCCTCTGACTTCACAGATCTTCTTGTTTCATCAGGACTTTCTGCTGCCCCCCCAAATTCCTTCCAGATGTGTAGCTTCCACTCAGCTTGGAGACCACGTGGCTTTTGATGGTGGCTTTGTCCATGATGTGTGCTTGGACTTTCAGAATGGGGTTGCTCAGACAGGTGGCCTTGGGCCATGGTCTGGTTGCTAAGAGGAGCTGGTGGGGCTTGGATGTTCTTTGACCAAAAGTGGGGCAAGCAGCAGTGCACGAGCGATCTGTCCAAGTGGTGAACAGTCAGTGGTGTGAGAAAGATGTGCAGACAAAGACTAATTCTTGACACAATGCATTTCACCAATGAAATCTCCATGAATGGCACATTCACATGCACTTGGGGCTAGCATGGGGCGACACAACTTCACTGGTGAAGAAAGTGAGTATGGGGCAGGAGGAGAGGGTGCATCACTGAGCAATGAGCCCGCGAGTGCGGAGCTGCAAACAAACAGAAATGAACACAACTGCCAAGATAGACGTGTCGGCTGGAGCATCCCACATCACCCTTCCCAGCCGTTCAGAGACAGGTGTTTGCTTCGTTTTCCATCTGACCAGGCACACACTCCAAGCAACATGCTACAATCATGCATGGAGTTCATGTGGCTCGGGGTGGCTGCATTTCCCCTGTCCAGTTTCTTTCAGAAAGACTTGCCTTCACCCCTCCTCTCGGTCATCTGAAAAGGGTTAGAAATCTGCTAGCAATTATGGAGCCATATATGAAATCTAAGTTTTTGTTCCTCTGCTTGAACATTACCAGACATCTCATGTAACTCTTGTAATATTTACAAACCAGTAGAAGAAATACAATTTTTTTTTCCATTTTGTTCATATCTTTTTATAACACTAAATGTTAAATCTCCATCAATCAAACACAATTACACTGACAAGCTCAAGGAATTGGTGTCTCATTCCAAACTCCCATCTTCCCTGGTCTCCAACCAGCTGAGAGGCAGCAGGAAGCAAGAACACAGCTTTTCGGGAGGTGATGGGAAAGACAGCAATGTAAACAGGGAAAAGAGATGATGAGGAGAAACAGTTTCAGAGAGAAGGGCCTGAGACATGAGAAATGCCATTGCAACTTTTCTGTCAGAGGGTGGAGGGGAGAAAGAATGGGAAAAAGCATTAGACCTTGCCTGTGTTTCCTATATTCATCTGGGCTCACCTCTCAACAGGTGCTTTGAATAGTCCCTCAAAGTTCAGGGAGCTTGAGTTCAGCTTGAATTCAGGAGAAACAGGGAGATTTTTACAGCACCCTGTGGGGCCCACTGCAGATCACAGGATTAGATTCTTGGAGAAAATCAAGCTTCAACCTACCCACGATCCCCCCAGCCCTGCTAGAAACAGACATTGCCAGCAGTGGAGCTCCCAGCAGTTCTGCAGAAAACAGGCGTACTTGGTGTTGGTGGCTTTTCTCAGAGAGGTCTGCAACTAACTGGCTTTCACCCTGTTTCACAGCCATGCAACGGAGGCAAAGATCTGCCCAGGGCCTGCAGGAAAGACCAGATCCCAGCACTGGGGCTGGGACCATTTCCCCCACTAATGGGCAGATGGTTTCAAAAAATGCATGTCCAGCTTTTAGTGAGATATTTCCCTTTTAACCATACCCCTCTATGCCTTGACATCTAAAAAAAACATCCTCTCAAAACTCCTTTGAACCAAAACTGATGTGAGATAATGAGGTGCTGGGACTTGATGACCGCCACCACACTGTAGGGGTTTGATATGCGTGACCCCAGTGCCTAGGAGTGACCCCATGGTGACAAAAACACATACAGAGAACCCATGGGGCATGCGCTACCATAGCAACCATGTTGACATCAAAGAACCTAAAGTGGGCTTGTCTCAGCCCTTAGGAGCAGCCTGTCACAGCAAGACACTGCAGGATGCCCACCTTTTTCAACAATCCTGTGCCAATAAATCTAAGCATAGGTGCAGCCCTGAGAAAGAGCAGTGTGGTGTTTTCACTCCTGCCAGTAGGAAAGGATGCAGCTCCCAGACCTGGCTTCTGGGACCAGGATCAGCTCACGGCTGTACCAGGGAAAAGAGGAGGCCGCTGCAGCAGAAAATCTGGACTTGTTACCAAGACTGTGAATTAGATGGCCCTCCTGAAGGTTAGGCACAAGGACTGGGATGTATGAATGCTCTGAAGGATGCAGGGCATTTTTTTCATGGGCTGACACACACCAGTCTCTAAAGAAGATGCCCAAGTCCCATCAATGACTGCCCTATTTTGGAGAAAGGGAACCATCTCTGGACACCTTGGGTGGATTTCAAGCACCAGTTGCCCACTTGAGACTTGCACCCTGTTGCAGGTATGGCTTTGGGGTCTGGAAGACCATAAATTACCACCATCCAATTCCACAGCAGCTCTACATCAACTCTTGCATTGCCCAAATTCAGTATGTCTCACGTCTCTCTTTAATAAATTTCCTTGCACTTCTGGCTGCCTGGGAGGAGCTCCTGGCTGCCTGCTTTAATTGCGTGCCTGCTGCTTCTTGGAACAGCTGAGCTCAGCAGCGAGGGGGCAGCGCCGGCAGTGCCGCAGCGCAAGGCGAAAGCACCGCGCCTCACACAAAAAGGTGGGGACGGCCAATTCCCACTTTCCTTCCTGGCCGGAGACCACCTGGCGGGTATCCCCTCCTGCACACTGCAAGGCCAAGCTGTTTCCTCCTTGTCTGCATGTGAGCACGGCTGCCAAGCGTGCTCCCACTGTCCCAGTGCCCAGGGCAAAGACAGAGGAGTAAACTGGCTGCTGCTTGAAAACTGAGCGCCTGTAAAACGCTGTGCTGTCGTGGGATGGTCACTCGACTTCAGTGGGCTAAATCAAGCTCTCCCCTGTACACTCCTCTCTCCAAAAAAGGCCTACGTGATAAACCCCATGCTTTATCATTTTTGCTGCTGGTGGATCCTATGGCTTGTGACGTGCCAGGGGACACCGGAGTCTTCTCCCCTCTGCCCCACCCACACACAGGCACTGAAGCCCCTGCTCACTCCGGCTGCTGCAGCAGACCTTGTGCCGGCGTGGCAAATTCCAGCCACCGCCCAACATTTTCTCAGTCCTGTTTCTCACAGCTTTTTCTCGCCTCCTCACTTGGGAGGCACTAAAGCCTCTCTTGTTGGCACCTCTGTATATGATTCTGCCATGGGAAGTGTGGGGCACTCTCCAGCAAGACCAGCATACTTGAGATAAGAGAAAAGCAGGGGAAATTGCGCTGCCCACTACTTTGCTGCATCATTTTAATCTCCTTCTTTGTAAACCTAGGATTTTGGACCTGACATTTGTTTTATTTCTTACATTCACAGGTCCTGGCCATATTTTCTGACCCAATTTCTTTCAAATGTGGAATTTGCAGTGAGTTTTGTAATAGCAGTGGTGTACAGCACACACATGCACACACACACTCACCTTTACACAGCCTACATTTCCCTTTAAACTGGGAGGACAGTACCAATAAGAACAAAAACAACAAAGCAACGAAAAAGGGTATTGGCTCTATTTTTGCATGTCTACCAAAATGGTTAGGAATGATCAGATTGTGGTTTTGATGTTGAGGTATTGTTCCTATGCACACTATATCTAAAAGGAATGGCTGCTTGGTGATGTCCGAGGTCTCATCACTCACATCACTGGCTCAGCCTCCCATCCCCAGGAGGAATGGTGGCTGTACTCTTCAGTCCATAGTGTTGTAGGCCAGTCCTGCTTTCTTCTGCTTGCTTGGACAATTGCACATGAGTGCACACCCCCATGAGCGTGTGCAAGCACTCATGCATAGCACAGGCTACTATGCTGGTACTTGGAGGCTGAGAGCCAAACAAGTTGGAGGTGGGAGAGGAAAAAAAAGCCTAGACAAGGGTGCAGACTGACTCTTGCAAGCAAGGTGGCCAGAAGACAAAAAGCCAGTGAGGACACAATGTGAACCTGTGTTGCAGCTGCCCCTCTCTCCTCACCCCTCTTCTCTGCCTAAGTGATCTCTCTGCATCTTGTCTCACACTGACAAGGCAGGACATTATCTACAATAGGATGAGCGTATGTACACATGGACTGTTCGTTTTGCATGCTTAGAGAGAGCAAGATAAAGACAGAAAGAGTGAAGACGGAGCAAGAGCCACACATGCATGCACGCACGCACACAGGCATACACAGGAGAAAGAGAAAGACACCTGGTTGAATTGGGGGAGGGGAAGGAAGAGGATTTTAAAAGAAAAAAAAGTAGGCTTTCAGTAGAGTTGACACAGCTTTAGTTCAGGCCTGTGGGGCGATGTTGCATGAAGGAGGGGACAGGAAAGAAGGTGTTTAGCAAGGGCTGGGTGCACATGAGCGCAGGGTGAAGTGAAGAGAGGATGGGGTTCTTCACAGGACACCAGTGTGCAGAGAGCTTCAGGTGACTTGCTCTGGCTTGTGGCTGTTTGGGTTTTTTTGGTTTTTATTTTCTTTGCTCTTTTTTTTTTTTTTTTTTTTTTTTTTTTTTTTTTTTTTTTTTTTAATTTGTTTTTAAAAGTATGAACTGGCTGAGCATTAGCTCACAAAAATGACCCAGGGCATCCAAAAAGTTAAATGGCTATAGACACCGAAGCAAAGACCTCTTTCTGCAAAAGAAAGAAAGAGGAGGAAGGAAGGAAAGTGAGGGAGTATGGAAAAGAGGAAGGAGGAGAGAAAAGAAAAGGGATCTTTTTGATTGGCTTTGTGGTTTTTGTTGGATTGTTTACATTGCAGCATCCTCCGGCTACACGATTCTTGCTGGTGCTCCATTCTCTCCCTCTCTTCATGTTGCCTCCTAGGCAGTCGATGACTTGACAGCCGGCGTTTCAGGTTTTGGATTAAATGTTGCTGAGTCTTCTTTGCTGTAATTTTTCCTCTCCCCCCTCTTCGCTCCTGAACACACAGAAGTTGTGAAAGAAACAGTCGTCTCTCTCTCTCCCCCCCTCTTTTTTCTCTCTCCCCTCTCTTCGCTCTGTCTCCTGTATAACGCATTTTGTTTTGTGTGTTGTTGTTGTTGTCGTGTTGTTTTTTAATTATTATTAATATTATTATTTTAATTCTGATTTGTATTAACATTTGCTGAGTAGGCAGAGCAGGGATGCTGCCAGAAGCCACAGTGGGATGGCCAAACTCATGGAGCCGTTGTCTACTCTCCCTGTGCCGGGTCCTGCAGGGTGCGAGAAGGGAGAGAAAAGAAGACAAGATTACAGGAGGCTGGGTGAGATGGGGGCAACACAGGAACACAGTGCTTCAATCCCAGGCTGCTCCTCCAGTGGTGAGTTTGGGCTGCAGGGCACAGCTGCCTTCCCACCTTGGTGAGCCTCTCTCCAGCCCAGCTACAGGCTGCTGTCTGCCAGCTCATCAGCATCCTCCTTCCCTCAGCCCAACACTCCAATGGTATGTGGCTGTCCCTAAACAACATCCACACTGGAGGAACAGGGCTTGGAACAAGTGGGAAGGCTCAGCCCTGGCTGCTGACCACAACCCAACCCTTGCTGTGCCTCCAGCTGGGAGCTGCTGGCCTTCCAGTACAGGGATATGGTTCACACCTTTGCATTTGCAGCCCCTGGTCACTACCCCCATGCCTGCCCACTCCACCACCTTCCCAGTGGTGGCCCTGAGATGCCAGGACTTGTTGTAATTCTATACAGTGGCCAGTACTGGTCTGCAGGCAGACACCAGCTCCACAGGATTCATCACAGTGGTCCCATCAATAAAACATGGGCCCAACCAGCAGACACTCCCCTCCCTCCCAGGGCTGCACCATAATTATTTTTTTCTGAATCGGGGTGGAGGAAGGCGGAGGAGTGCTGTGGCACTTACAGCCCTGTGGCATGACACCTATGAGGTGAGGGTGCAGGGTATGCCAGGGAGGTTGATCTTTCCTTGGGGTGGGAAATGAAGTTGCACGTGTGTGCACGCACATCCACAGGCTCTGTCAGAGGGGGCAGGGAGGAGCACGCTGCTGCAACAACAAATAACACAGCCTCACTCTGGGAATATTAAGTGCTAACACTCCTGATATCTTCTCATTCATCCTCTCATTTATGGGTTCCCTTTTCTGGATGACTTTAATGGCAGTGATGCTGTTTTAAATTCACCCTGCAATCCCAAGCCTTGGCAGCCTTTTCTTGATAATTGGTCAGGGAGGTGTAAATGGCTGTGGTCTGTAAATGCAGGCTCACCATGTATACGTGCATGTAAAGTGCTCATATATATATGCATGCATGCACATGTACGTGTACATTTATACATATATGTGTGTGTAAGATGCTGGAGTGTGGAGATGGAGATGAGGTTTTATGTTGGAACTGATCCTGCTGTGGAAGAAAAAAGTCATGCTTGCTACCAAGAAAAGCTGTTTCTGATGGCAGAGGGGAGCAAAAAAAAGGCCCTGTCATGAGGCTGAAATACAACTGCTCCCTCACAACCTGCAAAGGTGAAGAGTCCCACTGCTTTCCTGGGAGCACAGTTGCTACCCACAGGCTTGCTCAGCAGCACAGTCACTATTAAACTCAAGCTGGTGACTAAAAGGCAGCAAATCCAAGAGGGATGTCTCCAGAGTCCCTCAAATTCCGTTGTACTTTCATTTGTCTGATTTCTTCCTAAGGTAGCTGACTAGACTAGCTGTTTGTACCCCAGTTCTATTTTTTGATTTTTAAGTAAGTATGTGCTGATTTGTGTGGAAAATTTTTGTTCCATCTATGCTTCTTTTTTTCAGCTAGTCCACGTGCATCTTTCGTGGCTTGTCACATAAATCCTACAACACTGGCTTTTTTCACTCATTTTATTTCCTCCCCTAAACTCAGGAACAAGTTTCACTTTAGCTACTACACCTACCTCACCTGTGTTTCAGAAAAAGCACCTCTCACAGCCAGATAATGGTGGGGACGCTGTTTGGGACCATTTCCATCCCTTTTTTTGCACAAAACGACTCCTCTGGATCAGCAAATAAACAAGAGCACATCAAGCAGTGTGTTGCCCACAAAAAAATTTCAGCCACCACATTTTTACTATCTGGCTTAAACACTATTTGTCTTAACACACATGGACATATACCTAACATACTCGTGACAACCATTCCTCCTCTTTGCCACTTTTCTAGGGTGTCCATGCAACTGGAGCAAGGGCATTTGCACCAATAGTGACACGCAGTGCACCCCCAGCACAGCAGAGGCAAGAGGACATTTGGCCTTGGCTGGATATTGCTGCCTTAATGCATCTAAATGCACGGATCAGAGTTTGTGAGCTTGGTGGGGACTGAGGGCAGAGGCGTGGAGTGGTGTGGAGAAGAGATGAGCCTCTGCAATATCTTGGTAAAAGAGAGGACACACAAAGACATGTGGTGTGATGGAAGACTTGGGACAGGGTCACACCAGCTTCTGTTCTGCTTGAGCTTGTGTGTCTAAGTTTGAGATCATCTGAAAAGCTGAAACTCCCATCTCCAGAGATGAAAAATGATACATGTTCTCTTGGCTCCCTATGTGTCCCAGTCATGGTGGAGCTGGCTGCAGAAAGCCCTCCATGTGCAGTCCTGATCATCTTCTGTGCCACACCACAGGCTCACACCAGCAGCTGTTCTCACCAGCAGGCCATGAAGGTGTTGGGCAGTGTGTTAGGCTGACTGGGCGGACTGGGATCCACTGTGGCCTCTGCACATAACCCTGGGGGCTACATGGAATCTCTGTGTTTTATAGCACAGCTAGGTGGACTACATGCCATGGCTGCTACATTTACTGTCACAAGTACTGTAAAAATGTGGGAAGATTATAATTCTATCACCAAATAATGTTTTGGGGGACAACAGCTGCTCAAGTGTGATAAGAGTGAAAATGCTGGAAAAAATTAAAATGTTTGTCTTTGAGTGAGATTTTCTGCAGGAAAAAAAATCTGTTTTCAATTCATTCTATCAGTCACCTTTCTTCCCAGCCACACCTCAGGCTGTGCGAGCCGAGCCCATGTTTGCATGATGACTTCTCCATGTGTGTGCACGAGCAGCTGCTGCTGCGGGCTGTGCTCACCCACACGGCCATGGGTGAGCGCCCACGCTGGGCGGACAGTGCCAGCCCTCACCTGCACACTGCCCTCCCCTAGTGTGCTCACTCCGTGCACGTGTGGGCACAGCTCCCCTAGGTGTGCACATGCACACCGCAGCCCCAGGCCTCCGAGCACACAGACCCCTACAATGCCCCATCCCTGCAGCCCCCCAGCGCACTGACCCCTCTCAAACCCCCCGCCCTGTCATCCTGCACATCCATCCGCTCGCCATCCCGGTCCCACAGCCCCCATGTCACATCCCCTCGCCATACCTGTACAACCCCTCGCCATCCTGCACAACCCCTCGCCATCCCTGTAACATCCCCTGGCCATCCCACACATCCACTCGCCATTCCGGTGCATCACCTCGCCATCCCTATACATCACCTCGCCATCCCGCAGCGGGAGAACCAGCGGTCTCCGGCGCCCTCTGGCGGCCGCCGAGAGGAGCCGTCCCCGCCCGCTGGAGACTCCCGGAACGCCCCTCCTGAACGACCCCCGGCTGTCCACTCCTGCTCTCTCTTCGCTGGCTCCGGCAGTTTCGGAGCTGTCCCTGCGGTCTCCTGCTTCTGTGACCTTGAGCCTGTACTTTGGGAATTTGCTATAATATCCTGGGCTATTCATCCCCCCACACTGCCCCGGCAATTCAGCAGGCCTGACAAGCCCGTGACCATGTTAGGGTCAGGATATTGAAGGCGAGGAAATTGGGTTTCTGATGCTGATGAGCTAATATGAATAGCTGGCGTCATTTCACAGCTAAACCCCTAGGGGACCCTAGACCCTAAATGCTGACGGAGTCAGACCCCATTAAGCAAATCAAGAAGGAGCAGACTGAAAGCTGTCAAGGGCAGAACAACTGCACTGCTCTCCCTTGCTCCAAATGTGAGACAATTGGATACTTGCTGCAGAGGCACGTGGACTCCTGCCATGGTGCCTATGTGCTGCAACAGCTTCATGGTAAACTGCATCCTGTGTTTCCAAGGCTTTATCGGTGCCACACGTTCAGCCTAGGTGATTTGATATGGTGCCACACACCAAGGGCAAGATTTAGAGAGCTGTAGTTCTCACATGGCTGAAGGGGACCATGTGCAGCCCCCATCCCATCCCTCTCCCCAAGACAGTGTAACCCTAGCTGCATCCTTAAATTTAACAATGGGAAAAATAGAGCCATGCCATGGTGACCTCACTCCTCCTGCCCACCTGCCTGTGTGCAACAGCCCAGAATAACAGCCTGGCACAAAGATGCTCCAGGAGTCCTCCCTAACCCTTCTGGGAAAATTTCCACATGCCTCTGAGTGAAAATGCAGAAGGGGTGGTAAGACCCTTAAATTTGGGACATCAGCAATTTCACGTGGTGCCTAACACTCCTGCAGGCAAAACCATCCATGCAGCATGAGGCAGAAGAGTTGCTGCATGCTCTCACATGCAGAGGGCTGCAATCCAACCTAGCCAAGGTTTCACTAGAGAGGATGTGGGGATGTGTGCGACTGTAGCAGACTTGGCTTGGTATAGCTGTAATGCTTATGTATGTGATAGTGCAAGAATTGTTCCTACTCCATGAAGAGTGTAGGAAAAGACACAGTGAGAAGGATGGGGGGACTTGGATTAGATGGCAGAGGAAGATGGGAAAAGCAGAGTGGACATTCAGAGCAAACCACAGCCAAGACCTGCTTTCATCCTCAAAACCAGTCTGATGAACACATCACCTGGAAAGACCTTTGCTGAGTCAGTCCAAGGGTCTTGTCTAACCTTCAGTTCTGTCCTCTGTAGGTGCTGGGTGGGGGCCAGCCAGGACCACGAGGCCAGAATGGATCATACTGGCCTACCTCACCTGCTTCAGAGTCATCATGAGCCAGCAGAGGCTGCACCCCTTTGAGATTAATTTCTTCATCCATGAACTTGTCACTTCTGGACTGCCTGGAGACTTCCATATCCACGGAGTCCCTCAGCTCTTTAAGAAGCACAGCAGCTCTCAGCTGCCAGTAATGACATTGTGGCCCCACGTTAAATTTGGATGCTATGTTCTTTTGTCACTTTAGGACCTTGGCATTAACAGGCGGCCTGGCATGCCGCCTACTATTAGTTGCTACCTGAACTGGCTAGATTAAAACTGTCTCAGGCACTCCTTGC